ATGGAGTAGCTCTACTGTGCTTCACATGTGGTTGCTATGGTCTTTGGTTTGCTTTTAAATCACTCCTTAGAGAGTTACAAGGAACTATGGTGGCACAGAGGTTAGGGTATCGATTGCTAGCTAAAAGGCTGAAGATTAGAACTTGAGCGCATGTCTGCAGGAGAAAGATGTGGCAGTCTGTTTGGTAAAGATTCTCGCCTTGGCAACTGCACTGGCCAATTCTACTCTCTGTTCAATGAGTTGTAACTGACTTCACTATAAAGGTTTTGCTTTTGGTAGAGGGATGGGTAATTTCTACTTTCTTCCTTAAGCATTTTTTCCCTTCAATCTTTATTTTCTACAAGCAACTTAGTTTACTTAATAATCAGAGAAAAGTAAGCTATTTTCATTTTTTAAAGAAAAAAAAGCCCCTTTTTGCCAATTAACTTAAACTATATGTTTTTAAAAAGCTATTTCTTCTTGTAGACCTAGCTCCTGGAGGTTCGGATGACTGGATTTATGACTTGGGCACCAAATACTCCTTTACAATTGAACTTCGTGATACGGGCAAATTTGGATTTTTGCTGCCTGAAAGATATATCAAACCAACTTGCAAAGAAGCTCTCGCTGCTATCTTTAATATAGTCCGGCACGTCATCAAGAATGCTTAATGTGCTTCATTTTATCACTCTATTCCTATGTTTTAATTTATTGATTCCAGCAAAATCAAATAATAGTGCAAACTTCTTTTTAAGTATTATCAAGAGTTTTGTTGCAAGATTTTCCTATTTCTTGGTTTTGTCAACAAACAAAATAAATACTACCTTGAAATTAAGAAAAGGGTTCACATTTCTTTTCACCTTTTTTGTTTTTGGAAGGGGCTTATTTGGTGTGGCTGAAGGATTAAACGCCAGAAAGGAGGTGAAAGTGAAGGTGAAGGAGAAGGTTTTACTTTGAAAGACAAACAAGGTGGATACCAGGGCCATAGTCACCAAGACAAATCCCTGAACAAAGAAGATTTGTAATTTTATAGGCACATTGTTGTTGTTGAGTCAATTCCAATCATAGTGACCCCTTACAAGGTTTCCAAGACTGTAAATCTCTGTGAGTGCATCTTTTTCCTGCAGAGCTACAGGTGGGCTCAAACCGCCAGCCTTGTGGTTTGCAGTCCAGTGCTTATCCTACAGATCCACCGTTTTACATACACACACGTGTATGTGTTGTTGTTGTTTTTAAGTACTGTCGAGTTGGCTCTGACCCTGTATAGGGTTTCCAAGGAACAACTGGTGACTTTGCATTCTTGTGTTCATTCTATAGCTCACACCAGGACTCCATATATATATTTGTTGTTTGCTGTTAAGTGCCATCAAATCGATTCTGACCCATAGCGACCTTGTATAGGGTTTCTGAGGAGCAGCTGGTGGGTGAGCTTGAACTGCCAATCTTGCAGTTTAAACGGCTTTGCAGTCTGGCGTATTAACCTACAGCACCACACCAGGACTTGCCCCATATATACATAGAAATAGATATATATCTATAGATACAGATAGATGTAGAGATAGATAGTTAGATAGATAGAAAGATGTTGTTAAGTGCCATCAAGTTGGTTCTGACTCATAGCAATCCTGTATAGGGTTTCCAAGGAGCACATTGTGGTTTTGAATCACCTAGTGAGTTTGAACCACCGACCTTGTAGTTCAAAGTGATCTGGTGGTCCAGTGCTATAGCCCACAACACCACACCAGGACTCTCTCTATATATCTATATCTATATATACACATACACATATATACATGTATAGAAAATATATTGGGGGGTTTATTATTATGTCACAGAGTTTTAAGGAATGGTCGTGTTATATATTGGGACAGGTATATGATTCTTGACCAGGAGTTAACTTGTTGAACTTCTCACTTGTAAATGTTGTCTGGGTTGGTATGTTGATTTCTTTCCAGTGACTTTTTGTCTCTTGACCAAAGTAGGTTGCCAATATCCTTTTTCTGCACATGGCCATATCTGGTTATAACCAATGCCCGCTTGCTGTGGTGGGATACTTTCCTAGGAGAAAGCAGAGCTCAAAGGAAAGAAGTTATCAGGAGGGAATGAGTAGGAAAACAGGTTAATTGTAGACTATAGATGAGGTCTCTAGTATGTTTCAGCATCCTGTGACAATCTCCCATACCTTAAGAATATATCGGTATAAGGGTATCTCATACCTCAAGGCAAAACTTCCAGGGTTACACAGGGATAGGTGCTTTAGGCCCACTTGTCTGTCAGTTTGTCTTACTGTGATTCCTTTTGTGTTGCTCTGATCCTGGAAGCTATGCCATCATTTTTCCAAATACCAGCAGGGTCGCCAATGATGGATAGGTTTCAGTGGAGCTTCCAAACTAAGAACAGACTAGGAAGAAGTTATAGGCGGTCTGCTACTGAGGGATTAGCCACTGACAACCTTATGAATACCTTATAGTAGCAGAACATTGTCTGATGTCGTTGCAGAAAATGAGCCCCTCATGTTGGAAGGCACTCAAAACACAACTGGGGAAGAACTGTTTCTTAAAATTAGAGCCAACCTTGCTGTGGGTGGAGACTTTTGTTTGCTGCTGGGCCATGACTCAAAATGAGAAGACACAGCTGCAAATATCCATTAGTAATCAAAACGTGGAATGTACAAAGTATGTATTTAGGAAAAGTGCAAGTCAAAAAATGAAATGGAACACATAATGATCAATATCTTACGCATGAGTAAGCTGAAATGGACTGTTATTTGCCATCTTGATTCTAACAATCACATGGCTTACTATGCTGGGAATGACAAAGAGTCACGGCATCATATTCTTTGTCAAAAAGAACTTTTCAAAATCTATACTGAAATGCAATGCTTCTGTGATAGGATAATACTTACACACCTATAAGGAATATTTGACCTTGGAAACCCTATACAAGGTCTCTGTGAGTGGAAACTGACTCGATGGCACTGAATAACAACAACAATAATGAGGAATATCAGTCAATATGATTACCAGTCAATATTTTTCAAATTGGCTCCCCAAATACTAAAGCCAATGAAGAAGAAATCTAAAGATTCTGCCAATTTCTTTAATCTGAAAATGATCAAATATACAATAAAGATCCATTGACAATTACTGGTGATTGGAATACATAAGCTGAAAACAAATAGGTCATATCAGTTGTTGGAAAATTTGACCTTGGTGACAGAAACAAAGCAGAGGAACACATGATAGAATTTTGCAATGACTTCTTATTGTATATACCTATTCCAACAACATAATTGTGGATTATACACATGACTATATACATGGTCTCCTGGTGTAGCACTGTAGAATCACCAATGAACTGTGAATCACAAGGTCGGCAGTTCAAACCCACCAACTGCTCCTTGGAAACCCTATACGGGGGCGCTATGAGTTAGAGCCATCTCTACGGCACTTATAAACAATGACACATACATATGAACCTCAAAATATAGACTATATACATGGATCATATTGGCTATATCTGCAGGAAGAGGTGATTAAGAAGTTCAGTATCATCACCCCAAAGAAGATCAAGGGCCAACTGGGAAACAGACTTTCAATATCTCATATGCACACTCAGGATGAGGCTGAGCCAAAATATGACCTTAAATATTGTTGTTGTTAGGTGCCACCTGAATTTAGAGACCATTTCAAGAACAGATTTGATGCATTAGACACTAATTACTGAAGATCAGAGGAGTTGTGGGTTGACATCAACAATATTATACTTGAAGAAAGCAGATCATTAAAAAAACAGAAAAGAAAGAAAAGACCCAAATGAACTTCGGAAGAGAGCTGAACCTTGCTCTTGAGCATAGAGAAGCTACAGTGACCAAAAGAAATGAGGAAGTAAAAGAACTGAACAGAAAATTTTGAAGGGCAGCTCAGGAAGACAAAGTATTATAATGAAATATGCAAAGACCTGGAGCCAGAAAACCAAAGAGGAAGAATGAACATGTTGAGCATTTCTCAAGCTGAAAGAAATTTTAAAAATCCAAGCCTCGATGTACAGTACTAAGGGATTCAATGGGCAAAATTTTAATGACCCAGGAAGCAGCAAAAGAAGATGGAAGGAATACACAGTCACTGTACTAAAAAGAATTGATTGATGAATAACCATTTCAAGGGGTACCATATGATAAAAAACTGATGGTATTGAAGGAAGAAGTCCAAGTTGCATTGAAGACATTGGCAAAAAATAAGGCTCAGGAATGAATGAAATATCGATTGAAATATTTCTAGAGAATGATGCAGTGCTAGAAGCACTCACTAATCTGTGTGGAGAATTATGGAACACAACTAATTGGCCAACCAACTGGAAGAAATTCATATTTGTGCCAATTTCATTTTGTCACAAATGGTGACACAAGATAATATGGGAGTCATCAAGCAATATCATAATATCACATGCAAGTGAAAATTTTCTGAAGATATTTTAAAAACAGTTGCAGCACTTCAATTCAAATCTGCCAGAAATTCAAGCCAGATTCAGAAAAGGACATGTAGCCAGGAGTTTCATTGTTGATGTCAGATGGATGTAAGTTGAAATCAGAGAACACCAGAAACATGTTTACTTATATTTGATTGACTATGCAAAGTCATTAACAAACATAGTAACAATTGTGAGGATGGCACATTACTGAACAGTGTTTAGTTCTATTGTTCATAGGACTGCTATGCTAGGATTGCGGATAGGCGATGGGGGTATCAGGATCTGGTACTTGTTTTCTTTTGTTTCACGATGTTTGGCTAACTATTCAAAAATTTTAATAAACAGTATCACGCAAGTCATTAAAGTTTGGGAGCTCTGGTAGAGTCATGATTACTGTCGGATTGCTCACCTCAAGGTCAGCAGTTCTAGACTAAGCCATTCCGCAAGACAAAGATGAGGCATTCTGCTCTCTTAAAGCCTTACAGACTTGAAAACCCTGTGCAGGGTCGTTATGATTTGCAAGTGACTCCACAGCACATCACTCCCAAGCAGCAAGAGGAAAAATGGTCAGTAGTCCATGAAATAGTTCAGCTCCAAATTTTCAGTAAATTTCTGCTTGTGTCTGTAAAAACACAATCATGCATTGTTTGCTCCTCGGTATTAGGTGATGGGGTAGAAAGAACTTGTTGTTAGGTGCCATTGAGTCAACTTATAGTGACCCTATGCACAACAGACCGAAACACTGCCGGGTCCTGTGCCAACCTCACAATTGTTGCCACACTTGAGCCCACTGATGCTGCCACTTTGCCAATCCATCTTGTTGGGGGTCTTCCTCTTTTCTCTGACCCTCCACCCTACCAAACATGATACATGATATCCTTCTCCAGGGACTGGTCCCCCCTGACAATATGTCTGAAATATGAGAGACAAAGTTTGGCCATCTTGGCCTCTAAGGAGCATTCTGCACTTCTACCAACACAGATCTATTGGTTCTTTTGGCAGCCCATTGCACTTTCAATATTTTTCTGCAACACCACAACGCAAAAGCATCAATTCTTCTATGGTCTTCCTTATTCACTGTCCAGCTTTCACATGCATATGAGGTTATTGAAAATACCAAGCCTTGGGCCAGGTGCACCTTAATGCTCAAGCTGACATCTTTGTGTGCAAAAACAGAACAAATGGCATCTCCATTCTAACT